GGAAGAAAGGAGGGTTATAGCTATGCCCTCTGAGGTACTAGAGCTGACAACAGGGAACAGTCTTTGCATTCAGGAAAGCACGAGTACTGCCACTGTGATTGGCCAAGTGCGTAAGAGCTATGAGACCCTTTGCATCCTTGCCTATCTCCTTGCATGGAGGCCAGTCGCTATTTTGCCACTGTTTAAAACTTATTTGAGGTATACATGTTGTGGATAATACGTGGGTTTTGACCCTTCAGTCAAATTCCCTAATCTCAGAAATCATCCTCCTCTTTTTTCCCCTCTATTATTTGTGCTGCTCCCACATGACTGATTCAATGCATCTGAGTTGTGCTCCTAGAAACATGTATAAGGCTCAGCTGGAAGCAGAATAAAGAGAAACTGTCGGGGTGCTGAAGAACAGACCTGCCAGTGTGGACGTGGCTAGGATCCTGGATCAGAGAAATGGAGCTGCTAGCTATACAAAAAAGAGAGTAAAAGGACCAGAGTTCTTTCAATGATTTTTTTTCTTTATCCATGGTGCGTATATATCTTTCATTTCACCCTTTTTAAAGTACTTTCCCCACTTTTTGAGTAGATTGCAAGAGTAGCCGTTAAACACCAGCTCCACATTTGAATAATTCAGAACAACTTTGATAGATGTGGTATCATCACAATTAATAATTTGCCAGGCAATAGCCCAATTGTGTGGCAGATATTTCCTAGACAGATTAAGTCAATAAAAATGGATCCATCTCTGGTACCACAGAAACCTAGCACAGAGCCAAGAATTTTTATGACTCTATTGCAAAGAAACAAGGTGTGCCCGCAAAACTGTTATTAGCAACGGGTAACCAATGGTAGTGCACAGAGTTGCTAAAAATAACTGAATATAATGTACTATGGAGCTGTGTTCGTGTTGTTTTTATTTTGTGCTATCTTAGATGCTGAGATGGTCACATAGGATTATTTTTACATGGACGAGATTCTAAAGCAGACAGTTTCTGGAGCCTAGGAAACAAGCAGTGACTCATGGCTCTGGGAACTGCTGATCTGGGGGAAAACAAATGTTATTTTCAGTGCAAAAATAACTGTTGTGAGTCAGAGGCATTTAAGACAAGGCTGTGCATAAAATATGAATAAATTCCCTCCTCAATTCCATGCATTATATTTTCCCGGTTTTCAGAAGTAATAAAAGTCTGTCGAGAGAGCCTAATACAAGTATTAAAATATAAAACCCAAGCCAAAGTTCATATTAAAGCATTTTAGCACAACTACTATTTTCCCATTAAAATTATATCAGTACAGTTCGCTGTGATATGGAACCTGTTTTTGTTTTTGTTTCTGGGTTTTTTCAGAGGTGCTAAGCTCTGGCAACTCTCACCGACTTCAGTTGGAGCAACCGTTACTCAGTCAAGCTCATACTATACACTGCTCATGCTCTTTCTTTCTACTTTACTGCTCAGGGATTCTGAAGTATCTACAGTTTTGGAACTGAGAATCAAATATTTTATGTCTCCCTGCTCAGAGGTTGTCATCAACGAGCCTGTTGGATTGGAGTGTGGATCAAATCTGCCTTTGGATTCACTTCCCTTGGATTTTTTACATCCCATTTTTTAACTGCTTCACTGCTTTATCTATTTCTTTTTCTATGATGGTTCAGTGCTGATATCTGTTCTGCCTTGCGAGCTGCCCTGTTCATCTAGCATGTCTAGAATATTTGCATCTGGATATATTACAGGACTCATCACTTTTTTCAAAATGCTCCTTCCAAACTTCCAGCACCTATTTGGCATTTGCTGTCAGTTTATTGTTAGCCTTTCTTACTGCTTGTATTGTTGGCCTGATTGTGTTTGCATACAACCTTTTGTATATCATTTTTATATCTTATTTTCTTGATGCCTCCTCTAGTTTTGGAGCCTCTTTTTTCCAGAACTTTTGCTTGTCCAATGTTTGTGATTTCTTTACCACGGCACACAACACTTTTACTTCTACTTGTCCAGAAGTCAGCTTGTTTACACTTTTACCATTGTCATTGTTTGCTTACAGCAGAGGAAGATACTGGAAGGTGTATTTTGTAATGGATCCTTAATATTTCATATCCCAGTCTGAAATGAGATTTCTTCATCATCAAAAATTAATGGCCTGAAAGGCCTGCCAAACATCACCTTGTATGCCTCCATCATAGAACTTTCCTTTTAACTTAAGATCAAATTTGGGTCTAGTTCCACCAAGGGTTTTCTTGGACTTAAAATTAATCTTTCCCATTAGTAGTTCATGTTCACTGCCACACTGGGCACTTCTGGACTCTAAAATCCAACAGTGACCTTTTATGCCTTTTTATTGATACTAATAATGTGGTCGATCTGGTTTTTGATTGGGTCATCTGGTAAATTCCATGTAATCTTTCTAAGGAAAGCAAGTACCCCCCAATAATCATACTGTGCATCTCACAGCAAGTTCTTAACCTTTTCCCACTACCATTAGCTGTCCCAATGCTGTGTAGTCTAACACTTTTAGTTTGCTTACCAGGTCCATTACCTATGTTTGCATTCATATCTCCCATTATCAAAATCATCTCTTGATCAGGACTCTCATCTACTGTGCTGTCCAACTGTTGATAAAATCTGACCTTCTTTTTCTCTTCTGCTGCTTCTGTTGGAGCATAAGAGCAGATCACATTTATGCACAGTTCACTATAGGCAGTAGTAAACCTTGCTATGACAATCTGTTCAGACACCGGTTTTCATCTGTTCAATGTTCTCTTGTCCATTTCTGTAGTAACCTCATCCCTGTGCTTCGCTTGTCCATTTGAATGTCCAGAATAAAGGAAAGTATAATTTCCAACTTTGAACTCTCCTGTATCCAGCCAGTGGGTCTTGTGTATGGCAGCAAAGAAACTTGTAACTTCCTTAATTCCTCTGAAACTAGCTCAGTCTGGCCTGGAATAAATAGAATTCTAATATTCAAACTCACAGTACAAGTAATATGTTTAGTCATTATCTGAAATCCATGACCATTTCCATTTGCTAGATTTGATAGACTTGGTCCAAAATCCGTATAAGTCAGTCTGGCTGGCTGTCCTGTTTTATGACAAGTATGTTTTGGATGTTATAGCTTGTTAGGCCAATCTACTTTATCCAGCTTATGGGAATGCCATGTCATAAACTGCTAGGAACAGGTATCAGCAGTTCTACCCTATTTTGCTTGTCCTCCATGGATAACAAGCTTGGATTGCTTGGCTCTGAAATAATTTTTTTCTTTGTCCTAGACATCTGGATAACTGCTTACTGCTATGTTGTTTATAAAATTAATAGAAAACCACATGCTGTGCATTTATAGTATAGCTGGCAACTAGCCTGGCATTGAGTTGGCTCAGAAATGGCAGAGAACAAAGGTGAGCTTTGTGCCACCTTTTCAGTCTCTCCCACATTGTGTACTCCTCATCTACAGCTGAGGATTTAGACACTCGTGTGAGCTCATCATGAGCTATTAAATACTATTGTAAATTCAAGAGTTTGAATGTGGCTGCAAACCATTTTAACCTATTTAAAACAATGTTAGTTTACTTAACATGCTTGTAGTATGCACAGTGCTTCAATTTCAAGACTTTTTCTGATTATGGCTCTGTTGTGCTAAGTTGAAATTAAAAGAAGATTCTAAACATTGACAGGTTTCAGAGTAGCAGCTGTGTTAGTCTGTATTCGCAAAAAGAAAAGGAGTACTTGTGGCACCCTAGAGACTAACGCTATTGAAATATGCAACTTTTCATGTGTCTTTTCTTCTAATAGTCCACAATCCTATTTAAAGAATATAGGGTGCCTTCTAGGGGCCTACTAACAATCAAAGCTATGAGAAGAGGTATTAAATGCTTGAGCAGTGAATCAAGTAACCCGCTTTCTTCAGATCTCTTCCTACTTCTGAAGTCATGTCATGTTCATGGCTCTCTCCTAAAAGTGGCTACCCAAGGGTTACAGACAGCTTTAGGATTCCATGAAGATTTACGAGATCTGCCTATACACTATGCTTTGAATCCTGAATGCTGCTTTGTTGAAACTAAACTCTCTTTCTCTCTCCCCACCTTATGTTACTGTTTTTCAACACATATATTGTGGTAGAAGTTCATCTTACAGGCTTATTGCAGGTTGTGAACTGTCTCTAGCTCAAGAAGAACATCTTGTATTATATTGGTATTTTGGTTCATCATTTTAATTTATATAGCACATGTCATGTACACTGTTAATCTGTGTATTTTAACTAAGTGCCTTGAGGACTGGTAAACTACACACAGACACTTGACAAAACATGCAGAGAAAAAACTAATAAAATGTGAAAAAGTGATATGGAAGCAAACTTATCTTTAAGTTTCTGTGTAAGGTGCTGCGTAGTTAGTCACTTCAGTCATTATTCACTTTTTAACAGACAGGCCAAGGCCAAGAGAAACCTGGCTCAATCCACCTTAAATGATGCACAGTTAAGAGGTGTGGAGAAAGCCATTTCTGGCAGAGCTGCGTATGTATGAGAAGCTCGAGGAGGAGAAGTGTAGGCATAGCCTGCGCTCATACCTATGGGGCACAGGGAGAGCTGCTGCTCACCAGGACAGGCTGCGTCCCACACTCCCCAGAGTGGGTGCCCAGCTCTCCCTATGGGCACCTGCCACATTGCCCCAGACAGTTTTGTTCCCCAACATCAATTTGGACCCAACTCAATCCTCCATCTGCCTCAGCCTCCCCCACGTACTGAATTCTACCTGCCCCAGCCACCTTCTTCCCCCCCCCCCCCCAAACCCCCACCTCAGCCACCCCCCGGCCACCTTCTTCCCCCGCCTCAGCCACCCGCAGTCACCAACTTTCATCTCCCCTCACCTCAGCACCCCCGTTCCCGCCACAATCCCACGCAACCCCCTCCCCTGACCCCGCCCTGCTCTCCACAGGGCCACGCCCCCTGCCCTTGGCCCCGCGGCAGCCTCACCCACCCAGGCCCCGCCCTGCCCGCGTGGCTCCCCCCGTTGCCCGGTAACCGGCCGGGCCGCTCCCAGGCTCCGGGCTCGCAGCGGCGAGGGAGGGGGCGCCTGCTGGTCTGGTGCCGCAGGGCGCCGCCTCGGTGACTCTGTAGCGGGGCGGGGATGCTGCTGCCGGGGCTCCTCTTTCTCCTGCTGCAGCCGCCGGGCACCTCCCCGCCCCCTCCCGCCGCAGCCCAGCGGCACCATGAGCAGGAACCAGCCGCGCTGGGGGCATCGGGGTACGTGTGTTCTAGCGGGAAGGGGGGGCAGGGCGATGGGCTGGGAACAGGGGTAGGAAGAAACTCTGTGAGGGGACACATAGAATATCAGGGTTGGGGAAGGGACCTCAGGAGGTCATCGAGTCCAACCCCCTCCTCAAAGCAGGACCAATCCTCAATTTTTGCCCCAGATCCCTAAGTGGCCCCCTCAAGGATTGAACTCGCAACCCTGGGTTTAGCAGGCTGCCAATTCTCAAACCACTGAGCTGTCCCTCCACCCCCTGATGTGTTCCCCGTTCAGTTGACTCCCCCCATCCTCTGCACAATCCCACACTGAGTTCTATGGCAGAGACTTCCAAGCATGCGGGGAAACCTCCACCCTAGAAGCCTTTTGATTGGGAAAAGCTCAGGCTTGACGAAATTGACTCTCTGGCTTGCTTTCAGTCCCCTGTCAAGCACGCTCTTGTCTCTGGCTGCAGCTCTGTAATAAATCAGTCACATTCTATTTTCTGATCCTTCTGTTTTATCCCTCTTCTCCCGGAAATGTGGTTCTTCATCCTGCTCTGCCTGGTCATGTGTACCGCTATTACTTGAATGGTATTATAAACTACCTGCTACTTCTGTGTTTGCACAGCTCATGACTGCAAAATGCTGTATGCATTTTTATGAGAGACATCAAAAATGAAATGTAGCACTAAAATACAGTACTTTATAGACCCTGACCTTTCAATATAAGAGGTAATGTTTGACTGATTTTTATAAGATTTCAAAACATCTTGATCGTTATAATGAGGAAAATTCAAGGAAGATGGGAAACAAAAAGGGGAGGAAATAGAAGAACTTAGTTTGTTTCCTATGCTGATTCTTTCAAAACATCCTAATTTCAAACCCATAAATAATTGCCTGCAAACAACATTGCATCACACAGTTTGTGAGGCTCTGAGAATATTCAACAGACAGAACCTTGGGACTTTGGCTTTCCAAATAGTTTAGCTGTATCATGGAAATGATGTTCTCATTTCCAGAGTGCTTGCAGAATCGCTAATAGGTTGTTTCCTGTTAGTAAATTAAGGTACTAGTACACACACATACACACAGGCTTCAGAAAACTAAGATACTGCAACATAAATGTTAAATAATAATAATGGCCTGTGTTCTGATGCATTGCTATTACTTATATAAAGGATAGTGTCATCAAATATTTTAAGCACAGAATTTACATTTTCTTTAAGAAAAAATATAAACTCTACTCATAAAAAAGGGAGATCAGCAGGGAGTCCACTATCAATTTATTACCAGGGCAATGATTAGGTTGGCAGAACTTACATGTGTGCTAGAACATTAAGCAGAAGAAAATGGGGTTGTGAAAAAGATCCTTATTTAAACACAGATAACTAACAAAAGTGGTATGCAGTTATGAGTTATTGAAATCTGGAAACATAAATCAGTTTTATAAATCGTATTTATTTTTAAAATATACCCAGACTGAAAAGGTCTTTAAAAAAGACATAATTTCAATAAAATCAGCCCATTTCCTGCTATTGACTTTTAAGCAGAACTCCTTATTGACTTAATGGGGAATTCTCCTTAAAAATAGTGAGATTTAATTATAAGCTGCCTTACATACATGCAATTTATACATTTATATAGAATCTTTCATTGTAAAGGATCCCAAATTGCTTTTCAAACTGCACATAAGAATCACACCACCCGCAGCTAAAATACAAACAGCTCAATGGTGAAACATGACACCTGTTCAGCAGTGTATAACACTCTACACAATTTAGAACAGGAAGTAAAGAGTACCCAATCCAGTTGAAAATTCAGAGAATTTGGATAGGTTTCAGAGTAACAGCCGTGTTAGTCTGTATTCGCAAAAAGAAAAGGAGTACTTGTGGCACCTTAGAGACTAACCAATTTATTTGAGCATGAGCTTTCGTGAGCTTTATGTAGCTCACGAAAGCTCATGCTCAAATAAATTGGTTAGTCTCTAAGGTGCCACAAGTACTCCTTTTCTTTTTGAGAATTTGGATAGGAAGTTGGAATTTGGCCAGGACATTAGAGGTAATACTAACTCCAAGGAAAACAAATCCTATCAATTCACTTATATTAAAGGCTGTGGTAGAACAAATTGGTGGCAAGGTAATTACATAATTTTGTTTGAGATTTTGACTGTAAATGGTAATTAGTGTTTGTTTACCATTTTCTTTTGGTATTATACATAGGAACTTGGTTTTCCTGATTTTGAATATAGTTTTATCACTTTTTGTTTTGCAGAATCATATGTAAAAGAAATTAAATACCCAGAGTCATCATTCCTCTCTGAATGGTAAGTCTGTTAATATGGTATGTGACATAAATGAGTACAGTATTCTCTCACAAAATAAGTATTTTTTTTAAAAACTAGGGATAATTTTCTTTTTCATTGGATTTACCAATAGCCTACTCTAACTATGCTTTGATACCAGAATAGGTCAAGGAGAATATGGGGAGATTGGTTCATGAAAGGTAGAAATTGTCTTTTTCTGAACTTATCAAGCTACTGGTTGTGTTAAAAAACATTTATAAGTTCAACATTTGAGGCCATCTTTTATCTTGAAGAAGAGAGAGATTGTATGACTATCCTGTTGTCATATACGGTTCTCCTTATATGTGAGTTGTGTATATCATTTATGCCATCTTTGGACTTTAGATAAATAGAATACAGTGCTATTCTGTCTGATTCTCATTCTTTTTATGGTATGTGTCTTCTCCTACAATTTGCTGTTCCAAAAATTTTAGTCATGTAATCCTAAACATTTAGGAGGCTTTTATAGAGATGGCTGGTACCTTCGTGCTCTTTGATGGCTCTGCAGCCCAAATATTGTGTTGGTTTTTTTGCTTCAAAATTGCGAAACAAATGTGTATACAATTAACTGTTATTCCTAGGGGTTACAATCCACCAGAAGTATTAGGTCACAGAAAAAAATGCATGTTTATGTTAAAAATGATGTTTTAATATGCTAGTGAATTATTTTCATCTGTGTATATCTTTGGGGAGAATTGCATCCCTATCAGAATTTTTGGTCGGGGCTATGCAGAGTGAAAACCTTTTTTGTAATCATTGAAGGCTGTGCAAAAATCGTCTCATTGAAGTTCCTTGTATTTTCTGAAAAATTCTGAAGTTCAAAATGAGTGGATTTTTTTCTTTTAAACGTGTTTTTTGTTTGTTTTCTCTCTCTCTCTCACACACACACACACCACTGTGGTCTTGAATCGCTGACAACAAAATCTAATTTGAATGATGCTGTTCTGCCTTATGGAAATAGAATCTATAAAATAAATTCCTTCCAGGGTTATCCTGAAAAAATACAGAAGTGGAAGAACACAATGTTTATTAAAACATACAAGAAAATCCTCATGTATGTTGTTGCCTCACCCTCTAGGCAATTTTTTTGGAGATCTAGTGAGGTGATTAGAATCACTATTTCTGACACTTCTGACTTAAAATTCCAACCACAAGTAAGAGATGGCATGATATAGTTCATTCCAGAACCTGCTCACTTCAAGGCTGATGAGATTGCTTTCAAAAACTGAACTGCCTTAATAATATCTGTTTGCATTCCAGTGGGCGATTCTGTTCCACATCACTAAGAACTTAAAGAATTTCTTGACATTATGGGTTTTTTAATAGCTTTTCTTTTCATTTACCTAAACAATTTTCCATTAACATACCAGTGTTACATCTGTTTGTTTAATGTCTGAAAGGATGATATAAAACCACTGTAATGGTTCCTAAACTGGTATCCCCCCCATCCGAGGCCATCCCTCCCAACAGAGGGGCATATTGTTGAGGCAGCCCTACATTATTCCTGGTATCAGAACAGCTCATTGAAGTCAGAGAAAACCAGCGTAAAATACAACTAACTACTGTCAGTTCTACTTCCAAGTATTGCAGAGTACTTAACTGTAATCCAAAAGACCTCAAGATCTGAGACTGGATACAAAGGTGTCAAAGCTATCTTTACCACTCTTCCCCTCCAAGCTGTGCTGAGCACCTGGATCATTGCATTGGGGTTTTTTGTTGTTGTTTGGTTGGTTTTTGAATGTAAACAAATGATTACAATATCAAACAAAATAATAAAACACAAACTATAGCCTTCGCTTATTAATAGATACCTTTCCTGTCTAAGAACTACTAACTGTGGTATGTAACCTATCGCTTAAATCAGCCCCTGTATCAGATAACTGGAGGATAGTTAGTGTAACGCTACTTTTAAAAAAGGCTCCAGAAACAATCCTGGTAATTACAGGCGAGTAAACTTAACTTCAGTACCAGGCAAATTGGCTGAAACTAGGTAAAGACCAGAATTATCAGACACACAGATAAACACGATATGTTAGAGAGGAGACAATACGGCTCTTGTAAAGGGAAATCATGACTCATCAATTGATTGGAATTCTTTGAAGGAGTCAACAAGTATGTGGACAGGGATGACCAGTGTACTTGGACTTTCAGAAAGCCTTTTGACAAGGTCCCACACTAAAGACTCTTAAGCAAAGTAAGCAGTCATGGGACAAGAGGGAATCTTCTCTCATGGATCAGTAAATGGTTTGTTAAGAAACAAAGGGTAGGAATAAATGGTCAGTTTTCATAGTCAGAGGTAAATAGTGGGGTTCCCCAGGGATCAGTACTAGGACCAGCGATGTTCAACATATTCATAAATGATGTGGAAAAGGGGGTAAACCATGAGGTGGCAAAGTTTGCAGATGATACAAAATTACTCAACATGTTTACATCCAAAGCTGACTGCAAAGAATTACAATGGGATCTTACAAAACTGGGTGACTGGGGAACAAAATGGCAGATGAAATTCAGTGTTGATAAGTGCAAAGTAATGCACATTGGAAAATATAATCCCAACTCTATATACAAAATGATTGGGTCTAAATTATCAGTTACCACTTAAGAAAGAGATCTTGGAGTCATCATGGATAGTTCTCTGAAAACATCTGCTCAATGTGCAGCGGCAGTCAAAAAAAGCTAATAATATTAGGAACCATTAGGAAAGGGATAGATAATAAGACAGAAAATACCATAATGGCACTATATAAATCCATGGTATGCCCTTAAATATTGAGTGCAGTTCTGGTTGCCCCAGCTCAAAAAAAAAATCTATTAGAATTGAGAAAAGTACAGAGAAGGGCAATAAACATGATTAAGGGTATGGAACAGCTTCCATATGAGGAACAGTCCAGTATTTTTAGTCTCTCATGTTAGAAAAGAGACAACTAACGGGGATATGATAGAGGTCTATAAAATCATGACCGGTGTGGAAAAGTAAATAAGGAAATGTTATTTACTCCATCACATATCACAAGAACCAGGGGTCACCTGATGAAATTCATAGGCAGCAGGTTTAAAACACACATTAGGATGTCCTTCTTTATACAATGCACAATCAGCCTATGAAACTCATTGCCAAAAGCGAAGGCCAAAAGTATAACCAGGTTCAAAAAACAATTTGATATGTTTGTGGAAGATAGTTTCATCAACAGCTATTAGCCAAGATGGTCAGGGATGCAACCTCCAACCAGGGCCACCCAGAGGATTCAGGGGCCCTGGGGCAAAGCAATTTCGGGAGCCCCTTCCAGTGGTGGAGTGAACAGGGGGAGCAGACATAAAAAAAGGTGCCAGCCGCCACTGTTCCCTCTAAGCTGTGTGCGTGTGCGCACGCACACAGATCCTAAACACCGCACACATGGCGAAACACCACGTGCACAAAAATTTGCACAGAAGCACAACAATTTGCACAGAAGAAATTTTTTGCACACACGGCCTGTCAAAAATTTGCACAGAAGAAATATTTGGGGACACGGCCTGTCAAAAATTAGAGGGAACATTGCCAGCCACTTGTACTCACCCGGCGGCACTCCGGGTCTTTAGCGGCATTTCGGTGGCGGATCCTTCACTCGCTCTGGGTCTTCGGCGGCACTGAAGGACCTACTGCCGAAGTGCCGCCAAAGACTCGGAGTGCCGCCGGGTGAGTAAAAATTAAAAAGGTGCCACTTGTGCTCAGTGGGAGAGTGGCCGCTGCCCCTCTCCCCCCCCAGCTACATTACTGGCCCCTTCCCTGTCTCAGACCTCAGACTTCAGACATTCTTGTTGGGGCCCCTGCGGGGCCAGGGGTCTGGGGCAAATTGCCCCACTTGCCCCCCCTTCTGGGCAGCTCTGCCTCCAACTGCCAGAAGCTTGGACTGGACACCTGGATGGATCAATCAGTAATTGCTTTGGTGCATTCATTTCCTCTGAAGCATTTGGCACTGGCCACTGTCAGAAGACAGGATCCTGGGCTAGATGGACCATTCATCTGCCTCAGTATGGCCGTTCTTATAAAGTAGGCTTTCCCCTCAAAATTCAGTCTGTTACAGAGCTGGCTGGCTTCACAGGAACAAGAATCTAATCTTTCATGAAAAATACCCCTGCTCAACAAGATGTCTCATCAATGAATGGATCCAGAGTGCCTCTTTCCGCTCTATCTTATACTGTAACAGTCTTTTTTATCTTTATTCATAGAGGGCAATCCTTTGTCTATTACATTGTTTCTTTTTCATCTCCAAGTGGTTTCATTTGATTGTAGTTCTATCTGATCAATTTCCATTGACTGTTCTGTAATAGGGCAATGGTAGACAGTTGAGCTTTGCATTACATCACTGGCTAACCAGGGAGGAGTGGCAATTCCCCCCTGCATGAATAGACTGTCACCCCTGGTGACTCCTTTTAACATTAAGACCAAAAGGGCATACACTTAAATCTAGTTGCATCATCATCAATCATCATCATCACTCCCATAACTGCATTGGTCATTGGGGCACTATCATTGGTGAGCAATCAACCAATTGTCTCCACCTCTGATGATTGTGTGTCAGTGCTTGAGTCTCCACAAAGTCCATTCCTGTCCACTCTTTTATGTTGTCAGTCCATCTCTTCTTCTGTCTACCTCTTCTTTTCTTCCCCTGCACTGTCCCTTGGAGGATGATCTTAGATAATCCAGATGATCTTGTTACGTGGCCATACCACTTCAGCTTGCGCATCTTCACAGTCGTCAGGAGGTCTTCATATGACCCAGCGCATTGGGTGATGATGTTGCGAACCTCTTCATTAGTGATGTGGTTGAAGTAGGAGATGCCCAGGATTTTATGGAAGTATCTCATCTCTACTACCTGTATTTTCTGTTCAAGTTCTGCCGTAGGGGTCCACGTCTCACACGCATACAGAAAAATGGATGTGTGCAGCAGTTTCAGTTTGTATTCCAGGGAGATGTTCTTATTCCTCCAAATTGGCTTTAGCTTTGCCACCGCTGCTGTTGTTTGTGCAGTTCTTGCCCGAATTTCTGCCTTGGATCCTTCATCAGTGATGATTGTTCCCAAATACTTGAACAGTTTCAATATCTCCAGCTCTTGTCCACTGACAGTGATAAGTGACTTGATCCCATCACATTTGTTTGTCATCAGCTTGGTTTGCTCTGCATTGATTTCCATGCCATATTTTGAGGAGGGTTTCATCCAGTCATTTCACAAAGTTGCAAGTTCATCTTTGCTGCCTGCCAGGCCATCAATGTCATCAGCAAACCAAAGATTTGAGATTGTTTGCCCCCCAATGCGGACTATGCAAAAGTGATCTAGGGCATCAGTCATTATGCGCGCCAAGTAGACATTGAACAGTGTGGGCGAAAGAAGGCAGCCTTGCCGGACTCCAACAGTGGTGCAAAACCACTCTCCTATTGTGCCATTGATGAGAACTTCACTGCTGGCCTTGGCATACAGTTGTTTAATGGTAAGAATAAGCTTACAACCAACATTGTACTTCTTCATGGTTGCCCAGAGAGCTTCATGCCATACTCTGTCAAACACCTTCTTGAAGTCAACAAAGATGTGGTAGATGTCCTGCTGGTGTTGTAAGTCCGTTAAGTTACTTTCACCTCTGCATAGCAGGGAATAAAACCTAGCTCTTCTCAGGCCCTGACCAGCATCCTAACCACTGAAAAGTCCTTCTCCTGTATTTTCATATTGTAGCTTGTATTCAGTAGCCTCAATGTTCCATTAGCTCTCTGCTGTTATCTCGGTGGGTGGAAGAAAAGCTTTTGAGTGTTTTCTGGTCACAAATCTACGCCCCTTTTTCTTTGACTCATTTTTGGGTGGATGGAGTAAGGATGTGGCCAAATGACCATCCACTTTGGTTCTTGATTGGGATGCAAAGTTACCTTTAGAGGTTGAATAGGGCAGGTAACTTTTTCCATGGGGTTTTGTAGTGGCTGACAACACTACCACCACCATAGATGCTGATACACAGTGGCAGCCAGCGATTTGCAGGATTGTATATTTGTGACCAGAAAAAGTTGTTTTCACTATTAAAAAAAAAACCTGACCCTGGTTCTTGAGCATTCAGTACACATTACTAAAGCTCTCTCTTAATAAATCAAATACATTTCATATTATTTTTCAAGCCCATGATTCTCACTCTTTTTGTACTAAGGATCCAAAACCAGATTAGTTTAAGGCAACCCACCCAATCCCACAGTCCTTTGTTGCTACAAAAATTGTGAAATTAGACTGATAGCAAAAAACTCCAGATGGTTTGGGGGTTTTGTGGGGCTATTGGCAGTTGGCATACATGCAAAAAGGTTGGGGGAAGAGGGGCTGTGACTGTCTGTTGCCTGAGACTGTTTTGCCTTCCATAATGTACAGCCTTAAGGAATGGGAGTTTTGCGGCTTAAAGAGGTGATGGAGCCAGCTAAACAGCCTCTTGAAGTAATATTTTCCTTCTCCTGGAGCTGAATGTGGTGTGCGGTGAGGAAGAAATGGCTGAGAACCTGCAACAAGGGTTGGGAATGGGGTAGTATGGAGGCAGGAGTTGGATGGAGAATAAGTGATTCTTTCCATCTCTTTCTCACACTCCTGCTGGGTCCTAGTGCCCATAGGATTTTACTTGTTTTACTTGTTTTGTTCAGTCAGCAGGGCTTCCCCCTTGCAGTCCACTTATGGGTAATTTCCCATGTATTTTGAGAAGTCCTGATTCAAAGTATCTATGTATGTTGGCAACACGATTTGTAACTTTTGAAAAACATCAATCACCTTACTCTTTAAACATGCATTTGCATCCACTGTATCTTTTGCATTTCATATCTGAAACAGCAGATCACTTTCATCTCAGGCATCAAAAGAACAAAAAATGCCAAGTCTAACGTCTGACCACAAATATCTGAATAATGACGCCTCAGGAAGATCATTAGGATGTTTTCCCTTTGAAAGGAGCTGGAGGAGCGCATTGTTAAAGACAGAAAGGATAAAAAAAGGTAAATGATTGAGCTTGTCATTTTATGGTCTATAGTGTAGTTAGCTTGACTAAGAAGCTGTTCTTTCCAGTGCCGCAAATGTGTGGGGGAGAGTAGAACTTCTAGTGCTGCATTCTCCAAGCTTAATTTTTGGCATTCACAGCCCTATAGAGCCCCTTAATTAAGGCTTCTACATAATCAGTCTGTTCTGTGTGTCTTTTCTTTATAAGGATCTGATCCTTCTTCTTTTAAAGTTAATAGAAATTTAACCATTGATAAGGCTACATTTTAGTCATGGGTATTTTTAGTAAAAGTCACGGACAGATCATGGGCAATAAACAACAATTCACAGCCCCTGACCTGCCCAAGACTTTTACTAAAAATATCTGAGACTAAAACTTGGGGGGCGGGGCTGCCCGGGGGCCCTGCAGGTGCCATGGGAGGGAGGCCCAGGTACTGGGGGTGGGGCGGCGTGTGGCTCGGGACCCCCACTGGTGCTGAGGGGGGTGAGGTTGGTGGGGCTGATAGGCTCCCTACCTGACTCCGTGCCTTCCCTCCTCCTCCCCCGCAGCAGAAGCAGAGTTTGGGTGTGGGAGGGGGCAGGGGATTCAGGCATGGGATGGAGTGAGGTGGGCTCTGGGTGGGGCTTACCTGGGGCCTCGTTGGAAGCAGTGACATCCCTCTCACTCAGCTGCTAGGTGGAGGCGTGGCCAGGCAGCTCTGCACGCTGCCTCGGCCTTCAGGCACCACCCCCTCAGCTCTCATTGGCGGATCCGCCTGAGGTGCCCCTGAGCCAGGTGCTCCAGCCACTGCAGAAGTCACGAAGGTCACGGAAACTCACAGAATCTGTGACTTCCATGACCTCCGTGACAAACTCACAGCCTTAACCATTGATTTCAGGAGGAGCAAGATTTAATTACTAATGTACCTTGCATTTCCTGGTATTTCTAAGGGTTTCATATGACCATGCATTGACTGAGACATGTAGTTTTTGTGAAATGGCCTCACTTTTTAAAAACAAACAACCCAAGTGTTTTTTCTCCCAATGATATATCTCTACTGATTTCATATTTAGTAAAAGGAGCTTAACTAACTCATCTCATTTATACTCCTTAATGTGTGTTCTAATTATGATCAGATTTTAATATTTTATGTACACTTCTGTGAATATCTACTTTAAGCAGAATACTCTTCAACCTTTGGCTTGAGAGACTGCGAGGAGAGTACTGCAATACCAAACCTTACTCAGGAAGTCCAGAGCTATCAAGAAAGCCTATCTCCTATTCTGCAGATGAAAAAAGGATTTGCATATGGTGCTGCTAAACCACTTCCAACTGGGTATACGTCCATAGTCAATGTTTTCATAGAAAAAGTATTTATTTTAGAACATTTTAGCTTTTTAGAATCAAAGTGCACCCTGGGCATATTGCCTCTGAAAAGAGTTGCAAAAGAGTCCAGGTATTTGATAGCTTTGTCAAATTAGTATTTGCTGGAGAGAGTGGGAAGTGAAACTTGTAGTTTATGTTCCCACATCAGCCTTGAGTAATGCAGAAGAATAACATACAAAGTATAGATAATTCTATGGATGTACTTCTGTTGAGTCAATGCAGCAATAAAGCAAAGATTGTCTTATTTCCAAATCCAAAGTAGGTTCCAAGGCACATCCCATGTATACTATTAATTCACTGACACTCAAACTCAGTATTAATTCTGTATCATGGCCCAATGTCAGACTTGAAGCCATTGCTAGAGGGCAATCAGCAGTTTTTTCACCTTACCAGAATCACAAGAAATAAAGCTGTCCTCCTAGTAAATTTCAAGTGTAGCTGTGAAGAGCAACGATGCTTCTGCGTTCTGCTAAATAGAAGATTTCTTCAATAGAAAATAAGTTAATCCTTTTGACTGGAAAAAGAGGATCCACATCTGGAAATATGTAGATCTCTTACTGTCCTTATAGAAAGTACCTTTCTAGACACATTTCTGAAATAATTCTATCCTTATATCTTAGGTCTAGCCCTCTAGAACTAATTTTTATGTTAGTCAAGATAGTAAGTTAGTTCATACCTCCTTTAGGCATCAGGAATGCCTTTTCGATACAGAGAACATCTTCTCTATTAACAGTGACCAGATGTTCAATCGTCATTGTATAAGAAAGACTGTTACCTTGAAGTTAATTTTCCAATATTTCAATCTTCCTTCTCAGCATTTTGCTTTGTCTCACAGTGTTCTTACTATATTGTCTGTGCTTCTGTTGTATCTAATAATTGATCTCTGTTTGCTTCAGTTGGGACTAAGTGCTTCCTACACAGGAGTCCACCAAGCTTACGTATATAACGAAGCAGGGGAGTAACTTTTCTTAACAAATATGTTTCTCTTCACTCCCTTCCCTGTCTCCCATCCCTTGGTTCCCCCCCCCCCATCTAAAAGATGTGAGGGGGACAAGTCCCCTCCTTGTAATTACACCAGTGCTATCCACAAAGTACCTTTATCTGGGACTTTTTTCTTGTGGTCTTCAGTATGGTTTACAAACTGCTGCCATGGGTGGATAAGCTGTCTATCTGTAGTCACTTCTGGAAATAAATAAATAAATGTGATTGGTAAACAATGGCAAAAATAGCATGTGGTACTTAGTTTTCAACACACTAAGTTCCTAAAAATATGCTGTTTAGAGCTAAGTTCAGTATATGTAATATTCTGCTAACATAAGCACATATTGCACTTCATATTTTTGTTACAACTTGCTCATGCCAATGAATCTTTTCTGAATCATTGTTCTTGATAATGATAAAGCAAACAATAATTAATTACAAAGTAATGTAATCTCTTCTCAGTAAACAAGAGTGGCCTTTCATACATGCATTCTTACTACTTAAAACAATTTGCCAGAAATTCATCCATAATTGAAATTTTTGTTGGACTGTCTCTCATAACATACTGTAGCTGGAATTTAGTCATAATTATTCTATTATTTTATAATAAAAATGCTACTTAAAGGATATTTATTTCAGACACGTCATCTCACAATGTTAATTATCTTTGTTCTGGGATGGTATTTAGGGAAGCATGTTATACAATGGATTATCATTTCAGTACAGACTTCTGTTATCTGTTTAAATCTTGTTCTGATTGTTTTTAGCTCTTATAGTAAAGATGATAATGAGCATATCTGTGTGCCAACTTCATACATACTTCCACAGACCTCATCACAGTACTTAGGATACGAGTTTTGCAAAAAAAGGTACATCTCCATTTTAAATTATTATGTATCACCATTCCCTGAAAAGTTAAGGAAAGGTTTTAAGTTACTGAATATGCAAGAGATCTTAGTAATGTGGTTCTTAACTGCCTTTTTCCAATATGTATGCAGTGTTGTTGTAGCCATGTTGGTCCCAGCATATTAGAAAGACAAGGTGGGTGAGGTAATATTTTTTTACTGGACCAACTTCTGTTGGCGAGAGAGACAAGTTTTTGAGTTTACACAGACCTGAAGAAGAGCTCTGTGTAAGCTCAAAAGCTTGTCTCACCAACAGAAGTTGGTTCAGTAAAAGATATTACCTCACCCACCTTGTCTCCCTTCCTCCAATATGAAATGTTGCCACCTTTTATTTCTGTGATTAAGAAACTGGATTGGTGGCTTCTTCTGGATGTGATGGAGACTAATTGCTCCAGCTTTCAAATACAAATTAATTAATGCATGCTAATAAGTAAAACTTATGTCCTATTTTCCATAACACCAAACAAAATCATTTTGCTCTAGCAGTACATTCTCTGTGCCCTGGCAATATTCCAGAATTTGAATTCTTAGACTTTCAGTTTATAGTGCAATATTGCTTGTGAGGGACAAATGTTTTAATTTAGGAAGAGAGCCAAGTGGTTCTCAGATAATATGGCTAATTTTACCTTATTCCTTGTGATTCTGGACCCATGTTGCATTTTGAAAGAACCACGTCTGTGTACTTTTTATGTCTTTTACTAAAAAGAATAAATAAGCACATATTTAGATTGAAGAAATATATTGATAGGGCTAAAACTACTATAACTTTAGTAAACTAAGAATGAAACAATACAATAATCAATTAAGGTCACAATTGAGATTAAATCAGTAGATCAATGAGTTAACAGTGACATTAGTTTAGATATATAGTGTAGGTGTAGCTGTGTCAGTCACAGGATATTAGAGAATCAATGTGGGTGAGGTAATATCTTTTATTGAACCAACTTCTGTTGGTGAGAGAGAGATGAGCGCTGTGGGGCTTGAAAGCCTGTCTCTCTCTCTCTTTCTCTCTCACCAACAGAAGTTAGGGAAATAAAAGATATTACTTCATCCACCTTCTGTCTCTAAATAGCTTAGATGATCATTTATCAAATCATCAAATTAATAACCAGGTAATCAAATTATATCATGAGGTTGAGCCAAGGAAAAATTGCTTTTATTTAATCAAGAGACTGAAGGAGGTAGTTGTTGTCCTTTAATCTAACAACCCCAACCAAGGGATCCTGTCTTGACTGTGAAATCAATTCACCAAATGTAGAATCACAGAATATCAGGGTTGGAAGGGACCTCAGGAGGTCATCTAGTCCAACCCCCTGCTCAAAGCAGGACCAATCCCCCACTAAATCATCCCAGCCAGGGCTTTGTCAAACCTGACCTTAAAAACTTCAAGGAAAGGAGATTCCACCACCTCCCTAGGTAATGCATTCCAGTGCTTCACCACCCTCCTAGGATGTGACTGTCAGTTTTGAGTTTAGATAATGACTGAGAGAGATTCAGTGGCATAGCCAGCATGACATATTTGGGTGGGCAGGCAACTATGGGGGAGGGGGGGTGTTAGGAGAGCAGGAGGAATGGGGGACCCACCTCCCCCCACCCCCTGCAGCCAGGCTTGCAGGGGATGATGGATGGACCCTCTGGCCAGGGGTTCCCTGGGCCCCAGGCATGCACCCAGCTCCGGGAGGAGACGCTGCTCTCCAGCGCACACGGCTCCTGGCTTTCTTCCAGGTCCCACCGTCCCGCACCGGGTCCAGCTCCCCCAGACGGCAGGAGATCCTACCTTTTTTTAAGATCTCCTCTACCAATGGCAGCCACGCACTCTCTCACCCTCCTCCCAGTGGTGGATTAGCCACTGGGCCACCTGGGGCCCAGGAAAAATGGGCACTCCTGCACCCCAACTGCTCCGCTCACCCAGTGCTCCTGCCGGGAAGTGGGGTGGGAGTGCAGAGGCTTGCTCCACTCCACCTGCCCCACCAGCGCTCCAGCCTGGGAGTGGGGTCAGGGTGTGGGGGCTTGCCCCACTCCACCTGCCTGCCTGGTGCTCCAGCCAGGGCACAGTGTCAGGGTGCAGGGGCTTGCCCTGCTCCACCCGCCCAGCTAGGGTGACCAGATGACAAGAACAAAATATTGGGACACATTGGGGGGCAGCCACAGGCTCTAGGTTTTTTGCCGCCCCAAGCAAAAAAAAAAAAAGAAAAAAGCCGGAGTGCTGCCAAAGCAAAATATCAGGACAAATGGTGTCCCGACCATACATTTGTCAGGACGCAGGACAGACAACTAAATATCGGGACGTCTGATCACCCTACACCCAGCCCTGGCAGGAGCACCAGGCAGGCAGAGTGGATCAAGCCCCTGCTCCCTGGCTGGACCTTTGCAGGAGCGTTGGATGAATTGACGGAGCGGGGCAAGCATTGGGGCCAGAGCTGGGGTGGGGGTGAGAGGGGGGGCTGGATGCTAAGTGAGTGGGCCATGGTCCACGCAGGCCCACCTATAGCTATGCTCCTGGGGAGATTGCACAGAGAGGTAAACTGCACTCATCTAGTCTTAAGGACATACAGAGACCAAATTTCTTTGTCCACAACCTCAGTGCTACTCTGCTTCCTCCTTAAAACTTTCTGTTGCTATGATAGCTATTATTCTACTCTCTTACTCGTTTCCCACTTCACACAAATACCACAGAACAGAGATGATTACTGAATAAGGCTGAAATAGCAGCTCTGTATAACAGGTCTTTTACCTCAGAGACATTACCAATTTAGATGGCGGACTTGGGGTTTACTTTTCAGGTTTCAGACCTGATACATTCACACCCTAATAGAATAAGGAGGCACCCCTCCCTTAAGACAAAACCTAAAAAAAGAATTTGAACTTTGCTTTGTGGTCTCGGGATCTTAGTTGCTGCAGTTACTAGAGCCAGGCAATGTAGTAACTTGGTCTAAGCTCTTGGCACCACTGAGGGGGTCTTGGATAGCAGTAGGCTCATCAGACTCGCATAGCCAACAACTGGAGTATTCTTCTCCTGTTACCCTGGGTGGTCTGCCCAAAGGGAATAGGACGGGCACTTAGCTTCAGATTGTTGGTAGATGGAGAGAGCACACTCTCTTCTGCAGTCTTGACCTTGATGAGGCAATTCTCACTTACTCTTCTTCAAGGACTACCTTTGTAGCTTGGGGACTAATTAGATGGTCCTTCTACCTGAATACATCCAGCATGGCCCAATCCTCTCATGTGGGCAGGCTTCAATATGAGATCACTATGGAATGTCCCACTCAGGGATGATCACTATCTGGAAAGAGCTGCTTTTACATCTTAGAAATATAAATTCTATCTTAGATCAGATAACTGAAGTGTCCCCAGACCTAACTTCTATGTGAGCTCTCCCCCTCACAGCTTTTCCCATCTTACTTTAATAAATACATTGCATTTTTATACCATAATTTAGAGGATCTCAAAGTGCTTTAAAACCTTAAGCAAGCAGGCTCATATGAAGTAAATAAATAATATCCCCTTCCTATAGGTGGGGAAATTAAGGAAGAGAGGTGAAGAGACTTGACCCGGGACACACGAGTCCATGGCAGAGTTGACTCCTGTCTTGCAATCCTGTATTCTAACCACCACACCGCATTCCCTTCACTGTCCTCTTCTACTTTAACACATTGTTGTCCTTAATGGGTATTCATTGCTGTGGCCTGTGGAGAACCTACTACAGAAAGTGTTTTGTTTTTTCTTCTTTTTTGTATCCCAGTTCTTCCCACCCTTGACAGAAGTATTAGTTTTTAAGAAAGTTTATGTTAGACAGATATTCTGTCTTTGATTAACTATATTCTTCAGGTCCTATATACTTCATAATGGGGGCAAAAATAAGTTCTCAAATGTTTACCACTGTTGGCACTGACTTAGTATCTCTTAGGGCAGGGGTTCTCAAACTGGGGGTCTGGACCCCTCAAGGGGTCACAAGGATATTACATGGGGGGTCGCAAGTTGTCAGCCCCCACCCCAAACCTTCCTTTGCCTCCAACATTTATAATAGTGTTAAATATATAAACACATGTTTTTAATTTATAAGGGGGGGGTCGAACTCAGAGGCTTGCTGTGTGAAAGTGGTCACCAGTAAAAAAGTTTGAGAACCACTGTCTTAGGGTGTGTCTGCACTGAAGCTGAGAGGTGTAATTCCCAGTGAGGGTAGACATATGCACACGAACTCTGACTGAGGATTATAGCCTCAAAGTATCAGTGTGGCTTCACAGCTTGTGATAGCCACCAGAATACAATCCTGTCCAGGATTCTAGGTATGTTCTCAGGTAACTAGCCAAAGCCACCACCCATGTTATCGTGGCCACAGTGCTATTTTTAGCACACTGTCTTGATCCGAGCTTGCCTGTGTACCTTTATCCCAGCTGAGAATTACACCTTTCAGCTGCTTTATAGACATACCCTTACATACTGCCAGTTCCTTCTTTCCTAGTTCCACCCCCACACCTCACAACAAAAAAATTTACTCATTTTCCCACATGTTGGATACTCCTCAAAACCAAATCTATAGGCTTGTCTAGACAGGGAATTCTCAGGAAAGTTAGCATGAATTAGCTAGTACATGAATTTAAAGTACAGTGGCCTCTTCTGCACTAGCTCCCTGTATGGACACATTTATTCTGCACTAAGAGTGCCTTTTTGCACTTTAGCTTAATCCATTTTCAATGTCAGTTCCACACAGCAGTGGAAGTAGGCGGTACTCTCTGATATTTATAACTGGTATGGAGTACCAGAAAGACACAGGAGGAACTGGTAACTCCACGCCTCCTCTGGCACGGCTGTACCACCTTTCCCCCTGCCCTTCCATGGAACTGCCTCTCCTCCGGCTCCACCTGTACCGCCGGAGGACAGGGCTGGGGGAGCGGAGCTTGGGACGGTATAGCTGCTGGAGGAGCTGCCGGTGTTCTGTTCCTTTCCACTCTTCCTCTCCCAGTGGGGGAAGGAGCAGAACCCCCAGCAGCACCCCACCCCCAGCCCTGTTCTCCAGCGGGGCTGCTGCTATAGTAAGAGGATGGGGAGATAGCTCCTCGGAAGGGCAGGGGGTGTGGCTGGGAGCACCCGTTGAAATAAATGTGACAGTTCACACCTCAGAGCTGTATGGTTTGTTTAAATGAAGATTCTGGAGAATAACTGAGAGGTTTGGCTAGTCCTTCACCTGCCCCTCCCCCCCAAAAGGATGCATCCCCCATTTGGGAAACACTGTTTATGGGATCACAGTAGGGATGGGAGTGATGGGGAAATAACTGGTGAAAATCAATATTACCAGCAGAGCCTTCCTCGCAATACCAATTGAAATAGAAATCGTTCCCTTCTCAGTCACTTTTTGAAAGAGGACTACTTCCTTATGCAGGGGAAACATACCTGTGGTGGATCTGCAGAAGAGAGGAGTAGATTCTTGGAACCCAAGTCCACTGAAGATGCCAGCCATTCATGATGGAGCTGGAGAGATAGGAGCTTTGAGGTAAGGAATTTTTAGTGGAGGTGGAGGAAATGTAACTCCAGTTTCCTTATGAAAAGAAATACATGATATGGCATGTCTACAGGAAAGGGGGAATCGGGGAAAAGAGAAACAGAAGGACAGTGGTTTAAGCGTTACTGTCAAAATAACTTTTTTGCTTGTGTAAGCTACATCTCTACTTGGAGAGTTGCCAGTATAGTTCTGTTGGTGTGTCTGTACCCGCAAATCCTTTAAGTGTAGACAAGGCCTGAAATGGCAGAGCACTGGAGAGAGTCATATATGGAAAGGAATCTGTACAAAAGGTAGATAGAGGGAGGAGGGATGTTGGTGGAAAAGATCAAACTGTTCTGTGCTCCTCAGGCAAAAAGTTTCTTATATATGCACTTGTGTTACTTTCTAGTGACTTATTTCAGAGTGGTAGCCATGTTAGTCTGTATCAGCAAAAAGAAAAGGAGGACTTGTGCCACCTTAGGGACTAACAAATTTATTTGAGCACAAGCTTTCATGGGCTAAAACCCACTTCATCGGATGCATGCAGTGGAAAATACAGTAGGAAGATATATATATATATACACAGAGAACATGAAAAAATGGGTGTTACCATACCCACTATAATGAGAGTGATCAGTTAAGGTGAGCTATTATCAGCAGGAGAAAAAAAAACCTTTTGCAGTGTGTGATACAACATGGCCAGAGGACAGCAGAAGAGTCTTTTTTTGGAGCCTTATTCCCTATAGAGGGAAGAAAGTTTGCTATAAATTAATTAAAGCACCTGAAGCCAATTAGAGCACCTGAAGCAGTCACATGATAAAACCCCCCTGCTTCACCCAGACAGGAGGAGGAGCTGAAGCAGAGTGAATTGATGTGGGAGTAGAGAGCAGTTTGGAGGAGCTGAAGCAGAGTGAATTGATGTGGGAGTAGAGAGCAGTTTGGAGGAGCTGAAGCAGAGTGGATTGGCATTGGAGCAAAGAGCAGTTTGGAGGAGTTGAAACAGAGTGGATTGGTGTTGGAGCAGAGAGCAGTTTGGAGGGAAGCAGAGGAGAGTTTGGAGAAGTGCTCCGGTGGGCTAAGAAGACCAAGACCCTAGGTAAAGGGACACCTGGTCTGTACAGAGGGAGAGTAGGAAGCTCTACAAGCTGAAGGGTAGGAGAGGGAAGTAGCCCAGGGGAAGGAACTGCTAGTTCTAGTGGCTTACCACTATTCCTAGGGCCTCTGGGCTGGGACCTGGAGTAGAGGGTGGGCCTGGGTCCCTCCCTCTTCACTCCCCTCCTCTAGGACACTCGTGGGGCAGTTAATACCCTAGTTCAGGGCCAAAAAATGGTGCCCTGAACCACCACCACCCCACTCCCAAGAAGAGAATGCATGAGACCCATCAACATAGTGCCAGCAATTTGCCACAAGTGATAATCAGGATGGCCCATTTCCAACAGTTGACAAGAAGGTGTGAGTAACAGTAGGGGAAAAAAATAAGCATAGGGAAGTAGTTTTACTTTGTGTAATGACCCATCCACTCCCAGTCTTTATTAAAGCCTAATTTAATGGTGTCCAGTTCGCAAATTAATTCCAATTCAGCAGTTTCTCGTTGGAGTCTGTTTTTGAAATTTTTTTGTTGTAGTATTGCAACTTTTAGGTCTGTAATCAAATGACCAGGGAGTGACTTGTTTGTAAAACATTGGGCAGAAAACTGGATGCTTTCTCATCTTTGTATTCAACGTTTTACTTATTGTAATTAGTAACATAGAGGCCATTATAGTCTGGTGAAATAAAATTCCAGAATGGGAAAAAGTTAAAAAGGCTACAGATGTGGTTACTACTTTAAAATTAGATGGAACATATACAGTTAAATACCAGAGTAGGATGGCTTCATATTCACTAGACCTAAACATCAAGGAATATATCCTAGCCCTCTGCTCAATCCCTTTGTGCATTCTGGTAGTATAAAGGGGATGAAGGGCTGTCCTAAGAGGACAACTACAAACTCCTGTGTTATAGGGGGAATCCCTGGTGGCATAAAGAGAACATCTATTTTTATATATCTAACAAAAAATGTTCTTTATAGTTACTTTTGGAGGTGGATTGGCTTGACTGACCACCTCCTGACCCAAAAGTACTGTCTGCAGAAACGAGCCAGAATAGTTGGTTACTAATCCTTCCTATTCCATTCAATGAAATTTAGGAGGGTTTTTTTTTCTTTGCTGTTCTTTATTGTCTATAGTGGTAGCAATTGATTTGATAGTCTCTGCCTCTGAGCCTTTCAAATTTTGCTGATTGTGGGTACTTTGAAAGGGGCCCTATATCTAGAGTACTGGGCCCTATGGCAGATCTGGGTTCCTTTCCCAGCTCTACCACTGATAAACTTGCCCTATGCCACAAAGCATAATTTCCATGCCTCAGTTTACCATCAACATGAGGATAATAGGAATATCAGTATTAAGGAATTAATATTTGTAAAGTTCTTTTAGGCATTTGGATGGAAAGGGCTCTGGAAATGTAAAATAATTATAGAATTCAAGAATCCTTTCAACCTCTCAGCAACAAAACAGTCTTTCTTAACTCCCTCAGATATTTGGGAACATGATTAGGAAAGACACTAATGACTTTCCATACAGTGAATAAATCTAACTATTTTTTTATTTGTGCTCTCTATAAAGTGGGTGCTTTTTTTTATTCAGCTGTATTAATTTCAAGACTTTTCACTATGACATCCATAGATCCAAGAAGAATAACCACGTTTCCAGCATATATTCACTTCCAGTGGGACCCAGATACAAGTTTGGTAAGAAATGTATAATCTGTGTATGATTTTAGTGTTCAGCTCTTGTCAGATGCTGTTAGAACTGAGGAGTTGTAGAAGGGGCAACTCTAAGGGCTTGTCTACATGGACAGTTAGTTTGTGGCAACTGGGGTATGAATCTACCCCACCCTAGCCTGCTACATACTAACTGCCTTTGTGGACTCTGCTGAAATGCATTAACAGTTTGTTAATGCGCTTTGATCTAGTCCTCTTTGAAAGAGGATTATACCCCCAGCTTGCCAAAAACTCACTGTTGCTGTAGACAAGCCCTAACTTGTCAATGCTTTACATTATAGCTTTCTTGTGCTTCCATTCCCCTTTTGAAAATTATCAGAGGGGTAGCTGTGTTAATCTGCATAGGTGTCAACTCTGTGGGTGCTCTGCACCCACCGGGGAGATCAGCTGTTGGCAACTTGCAATCAGCTATTTAGCACGGACAGCAGCTCTTTGTCTGTCTGTGGCCAATCAGCTGTTTGGCGCAAAGTCCCCAGCGGGCTTCTGTGAGTCCTTTTAATTTTCAGGGCAGAGGGAGCTGGGTTGGGGGGACAAGCAGCCAGGGCATGGCAGCTTCTGGGCTAGCTGCGGAGGGGTGCGGGAGATGGGGTGAGCAGCCCCTCGGCAGGGAGTTGGGGGGAGATGGGCGGGCAGCTTCTCGGCTGGCCTCGGGGCTGCTGTGGGGAGTATGGGCCATGGGGTTTCTCGAGGAAATTCTCAGCCTACCCTGGTGTCTCCCCCAGGACCTGTGCTTCCCCTCCAGCCAGGAGAAACCAGCTGCAGACCCCCTTAGTGCTGGGCAGAGGGACAAACCAAAAAGACATGGCTCCTTTAAGAAAAGTTTGCCATTGTGTCTGAGTGAACTTGGGCTGGGGCCAGGAGCTCGTCCCCTCCCATGCCCTGTCCAGCCAATCGGGTGCGCCCAGCCATAATGAAAGGTGAGAGGGGCTTCACTGCAGCCTCCCCCAGCACAGACACTGCCTGTGCCTGGACCCCTCCCATGTGGGCTCTGGGAGCTCCCAACCCCTACGGTTCTGACCTAGGTCCCGGGGCTCTGCATCCCTTCCCCTGTGTGTGGAGGGACAGAAAGGGGCAACACCCCACCAGTGCTTCTAGCCACATCCTCCCCATGGGCTCTTCTCTATGGCTGGCTCTCATGCCTGGGAAAGTAACGCTTGCCCAGCCCAAAGCTGTCTCCCCCTCCCCCACGCCCAGATCAAGCCTGCCTGAGGGGCTTTTCCTCCCAGAGAGGAAGTTTATCCCCTCCTCTGCTGATCAGCATCCCCTCCTCCCTGTATCAGGAAGGATTGATTTCCTTCCCCTGGATCCACCTCTCCCCCACTGCAACTTTTAGAGAATTCCTTCCCTTGCATCCACCCCCCTGTATCAGCTTCAAGTCAGGAGAGGCTGCCTTGCTTCACCTTGGGACACCTGAGCTTGTCTTGCTTCAGGGTGCTGGACGGCTGCAGCACAGTGAAGGAAGCAACCCCCACCCCCTTTGGCCATGGTCCCACCAGGGGCTCCCCTCCCACAAAAGTTGCAGAGTGTATAAGGGAGTCAGCAAGCAAGCTTCAAAGCGGGGGTGGGCTGCAGCCCTGGGGACTGGGAGAAGCTGGAATGACACAGGAGCCACCCAGCAGGATGAATGAATGGGCCATTTCTATGCTGGGCTGTTGAATTAAATTTTTTCTCTGTCTCAGGGTGGGCAGTTTCTCAGCTGGCCGCTGGGGCTGGGGGGAGACAGAGCTGCTTTGAGTGCGTGGGTGGGAGCGGGCACTAAACAGAGCCACCAGGAGGTGGGGAGCAGAGAGAGATGGGGGAAAAGGGACACAGGTGGAGAGCAAAAACTGGGAAACATCAGGAAGGGGAGATACCAGTGATAGACACACTTTCAATAACTAGAATGAAAGTGTACAAATATGTTGAAAATAGCCTCCCCTCAAAACTGGCAGAGCACCCCTCCAGCACACGCACCTCCTCCTTAAGGCAGGAGGGGGCAGAAAGGAGTGAGCGGCAAGTGGGAGGCATGGGGGCGGGGGGTCAGCAAGAAGGAAGCATTCAGGGGAGTCTAGGGGGATGTGGCAGGAAGAGGTGGAGTGGGGGCGGGGCCTTAGAGAAGGGGGCGGAGCCAGGATGGGGCACCCACTGGCAAAACCAAAAGTCCGCACCTATGTTAATCTGTATCCACAAAAACAACAAGGAGTCCAGTGGCACCTTAAAGACAGATTTATTTGGGCATTAGCTTTCATGGGTAGAAAACACCACTTCTTTGTGGGGGGTTTTACCCACAAAAGCTTATGCCCAAATAAATCCCTTAAGTCTTTAAGGTGCCTCCGGACTCCTCGTTGTTCTTTTGAAAACTGTTCCCTCTGATAAAACTTCTTGAAGTTCTAGTGATTACATACATTTATTGAAGGGATAATGTTTACAGTGAAGTTTATGAAGAAATAACACCTTTTGCAGGCAGTTACAATTATCCAACCCAGCTTTTCTCATTTTTAAGTGTCACTTATTTTGAGTATACTGTTATCAACTATTAGGAATTATTCCTCTTCTAAGATGACAGAAGAGTCACATGAATAGATGTTTCTTGGTTTTTCTATGGATTTGATTTTTGCAGGGGGGAGGGAGAGGGCTCAGAATTCCATTTGTCAGTTCAGTTTCATGAATAGTTCTCTGTATGGAAAGAGTAATGTGACATAACACACTCATGTCATTTGTGAGACAATGACATTTCACTTTTTCATGGCTGTGATTGGAAGAAATTTAAATAATACAAAATGATTACAATAATAGAGGATACTTGGCACTCAGAGGGCTTTATGAAGTGTTTTGTAGCTGTCGACTTCACAGAATCTTCCCACTATCCACATTTTGCACATGGGGAAACTGAGACAGAGGCTGCGACTGGCTCAAGGCCAGAGAGGACATCTCTGTCAGAGCTGGGATTAGAACTGAAGTTACTGGTTGCTAATCTTGTGCTTCACTGAGTAGAATAGTGGTCTCTAAACCAGTGGTCCTCAAACTAGGGCCGCCGCTTGTTCAGGGAAAGCCCCTGGCGGGCTGGGCTGGTTTGTTTACTTGCTGCAGCCGCAGGTTTGGCCGATCGTGGCTCCCACTGGCCGCTCCAGGCCAAGGCGGGCTGCAGGAAGGGCAGCCAGCACATCCCTCGGCCCACTGCTCTAAACAGTATGATGAGCTCAGAGAAAAGATGACTTGAATGAACCCACTGACTGCTAGTGTCACTATATTTGAGGAAGAAAATAACTACCAACAAGTACATGAAACATCTGTGTTGTGACTTTATCATTAGAAGATATCTCTGGAAAGTGCTACTTCTAAACTCACTTGACCACATTAGCCACTTAAACTTTGTTATGCTGAAATATCGATCTAGCAAGTACTAGTTTTAAGTTAGTTTGGTTCCAAACTACAATTGTATTTATACTGCTTGGAAGGGTTAGTAGGTAGCAAATTAATCTGTCAGCAGTATCCTGTGTAATAGTTTAATATTTGTAATACTGAAATAAAAATGTCTCCAGATGAAATGCGTACCTCCTATTAAAAGCCCCTTATGTAAAAATATTTCTACATGTGGTGGTAGATGAGTTAAAAAGCAATGTGAAAAGAAGTAACAGAAGATAAAATGAATAGTGGGACTGAAAACCAGACAGATATCAGTTTTTTTCATAATTTGCCAAAAATATTATAGTTAAAAATGTCAGTATCATACATATGTTTGGCTTGTCCACTGCCCCTTTCAATGTGGATTTGACTGATGTTCACCATTTAAAAATACATGTACTGTCAAGACTTGTTTTCTAGAAGCTTGCATCCCCATGTTGATTTAATTTGAAAGTGGAATGCCAAATTTTAGGGTTAGACAAGTGACTCATTAAACACAAACCAACCTCTCGAGTAACTCTGCTGAAGACATATTTCTTATTAAAGGTGCTTAAGACCTACCTGATTTAGTGCGGTAGAATCATTTTTCTCCCCTTAGGTCATCACCATTTCACAGATCCTTTTGCTGGAGCTCCACCTGAATATATACAGAGACTCTCTGAAATAAAATCATTTCAGTGTGAAACTATACGTCAAGAGAAAAACAAAAAATTGAAATGGGGCAAGAAAGAAGAAACATGGACAAGCTGATGGGCAAGAGACAAGCTCTTGTGTACGCTATTTTGTGAGCTTAGATTGTTTTGCTCACTGAAATACAAAAACTTTGCTTTTAAATACAGTATGATGCTAAAAAATGATTTACCTGAAAACCTGTTTAATATCAATAAAACTGTAAATACCAAATCTTGTGATATATTTAATAAACATTTTATATATTTATACAGAGCAATATGCAGTGTTTTTCATTAAAAAGTCATAACTTGAGTCTTAAAGATATGGATAACAGTTTATATAATGTAGACTTGAAATATTAATCTTTAAATGAGAAGCAGACCTTTGATTGTATTAACTCTGCCACTAAAAACCAGCTACATGCCTATTTTTCATGTGTACTTCTATGGTGGAAACTATAGTGCATTTAATCTTTAAGTTTACTTATCTACTAGATTAAAGGGTAATTGTATATATTTTTATGATCTGATCTCATTTTAGTTTAATATATGCAATTACTGTTCATTTAATAATGAGCATATTTGGTTTTGGTCACTTTACTAAAGATGCAATAACTGTATGCAGATTTGTTTACAGGTCTGCTTTTCATTGAGCCTTGTTTCAGAGTTTGTAGTAGACCAAAGAAACCTGTTTCCCATAACACACTAAAATTAAGTAGGAAGAAAAATTTCCACTGGGTGGCATAGTTACTCCCATATAAAATCCACTATTTGTATATCATCAATAAACTTTGGGCCTAGAGCTTCCTCCCTTTCATAAAACTTTCCTCTACTGATCTGGCACTAAGGAGATCCAGGGGGTAGGGGGAAATCCTTCCTCCACAGTATGTTCCCTCCTCCTGCCCAAACCTATGGCAGCTCCTCTGAGGGACTACCTTCAGAATTGTGGGAGATAGGCAAGAGGAGAGAGAGCGGTTTCCCTGGATTTTCTCCTTCTCCCATCCCATCCCAAACATTCTGGGGAAACCAACATAAATTTTGTCTATATATTAATTTGTGATTGCTTCATACCATCAGAGGGCAAAGTATCTTTTGGAGGGGTAGAAGTAGGGAAGTCCCTAGAAACATGGCTCCTTCAAGAGCTGTACTGTCCAGGGGTTGTCTCCTCTGGATCCCCTAAGATAGCACCCCAAAACTGTTTCCGAATAGAATGAGCAAATTCTGCATTCATGATGGAACAATTCCTAAGAACTGCAGCTTGAAAGCTCAGTGGTCCTCTCCACATAGATGATTGCTGCTTAGAGGAAATGAAATCCTTAACTGCCACAAACTACTTTAGGCCAACGTTATTTTAAAAATATGCTGCTAATTTTCTGCTAGTAATTAGAAAAACTTCCTGCTAGGCAAAGAATAGTGCACAAGTAATGTCTAATGTTCTTTAAAAGCCATTAATAAAGCCTGGTAAAGCAATACGTCAAGTATTGTGTACAACTAGAAATTTGATAATCCCTGCTTCTCTTCCAGGAACTCACCCTTGCAATACCTGTTTTACAATACAAAGAAAAAAATTACTTGTGTTTGAGTGACATCAGTCATCTCATTGTAAAAGTGGTGATGTTTCCCCTTCCTGGTTTGTAACTTGATATTTTCTCAGTTATTCTGTCCAAATCCAACAAAAGCAAGGGATAGCAAATATTAGAATAACTGGAATATCAATTGCCATTCTCCTATCGGTGAACACTATATCTTATGTTTTATATAGCATCATTCAACTTGAAGGATCTTAGGGCATGCTAATCAAGTAAGTCTATACAGATTTAAAATAAACTTCCCTGACCACTGAAATGCTGCCTGCTCTGGATCTTGTATGGTATTTTCCCTACTATGGAAATGACTTGTAATAAAAATATATATGCAATTCATTGAGCTATTTCACATGGGAAAATGAGAATAAACTAATATTTTTATTTTGAATGTTTAACATCAATTAGTTATGGTAGCATCATATTAGAGCTGCTTGGACACTGAATACAGACCTTAAATGTTTGCCTGTTGGTGATGTCCAATAATATTGTATTTGAAGAGACTGCCAAGCAAATCTTATTGCCAGTTTATTTGGGCGTACCTGCCGTTTCAGAGAAGATATGCTAAGGAACATTCTATGCAATCTATTTATAGGCACTAAAATGAACATGAGTCAGCTTAACAAAACCAAAACAATCTTTCAGGTGTAAAGCTTTTTTTCTTCATGGTATTTCTGTTAGCCTTGAATAGGTGGAAGACAGCTGGAAAATGGGCACTGAAAACCTATCTGAACCTATGGGACTGATCTAGAACATCTTGGCATTTCATTTTTCCTTTGACAAAAAGGTGTCTCTCCCCCTTTGTACCCCATCCTTCTGTTAAACAGAAAAGAGGCTGAAAATTTGGCAGAAAATGGCCATTTGCCAAATCTGATTGTGAAATTTCACAAAATTAGTTAATTCCACCCTGTGAAATGACTTTGGAGTTTTTCTATGAAAGCCACCTAACCTTTGCAGGTTTCAGAGGAACAGCCGTGTTAGTCTGTATTTGCAAAAAGAAAAGGAGTACTTGTGGCACCTTAGAGACTAACCAATTTATTTGAGCATGAGCTTTCGTGAGCTGTAGCTCACGAAAGCTCATGCTCAAATAAATTGGTTAGTCTCTAAGGTGCCACAAGTACTCCTTTTCTTCTAACCTTTGCAAACACTCCTAACATTAACCCAAAATTTTAGCTTATTAAGTAGGTGGTAAATAATATGGTAATTGACTCTGCATGTGCCAAAACATAGATTTGTAATGTCATGTGTCACATGCAGATGGAAGTCTTTAAAAAAAAAAATCACATGGCTTGATTTTTCATGATCTCTGAAATCAATGGGAGCCATAGATGCTCAACACCTCAACTTCAGGCCATTGCTGCGTATGAAAGCATAGCTGATAAGCACACCATTGGAAAGATTTGGAGACGCGATAGTGAAAATGGATAGAAGTATGAGGGATGTATGGGGGTATGGAGCGGGGCATCGATCAGTATTTTATAGCCTGTACAGAAGAGTCAAAGGATGTACAGGTGATATTTAGAGATTAGGAAAGGCAATAGGAAACTAGTCAGTCTGTTTTTCATGCTGTCTCAACTTAATGGATGAGGAAGGGGTTATTTGATAGAATGAATGATAGGCAACTTTTAAACTAAAGTAAAAGGAAACAATTATATCATTTAGTCAACCTGTGGAAGGCACTGCTGCAGGAGGGCCTAGAGTTAAACATTGCAGCTGCATTTTTAAAGTGAGTGGGTAAAGTTACAATTTAAAATATTTGCCGTTTCCCCTTGTAATGTAGGGGAAATCAGTCTTTTGCTTTCTCTGAAGCACTGGATGTTGGCCACTTCCAAAGGAAAGAAAGTGAAGTTGGTAAACTAGTGATCCAATCCAGCACAGTAGTTATCCTTTACTTGCTATAGTTATCTCTGCCTTTGCCGCCACCAGGGCACCCCAGTGTGCTGTATATGGTACTTCAACTTGAAATCATCAAGAAGCAGGAGTCGGTGCAGTGAATAGTGCAGATATGTGAAGCTTGGATGATCATAATTCATGCTCTGATATCATGATGAGGAACATAGTATTGTTACCCCTTTTTTGACCTGAGCAGTTACCCTAAATTTTGGCTATTGCAAGTTGTTTCCATGATGACAGTCAGTTATTTCTTTGGTGCAATCCTGTTGGTTTACAAAGAATGTACAAAGTCCTGTTTCTCTGAAAAAAGGCAGTCTCAAACAGGAGACAGGTTTTTTTGCTCACGGTGCCAAGTCTCTTTCAGTGAGCACTTTCACCCAAAAGCATTCTCCGGACTTTCCTCAAGGTCAGGCGTGTTTAGGCTGTATCGTTGGCTTTCTGCTCCGTTTCTTTGCTAGTGGTTTCTGTGGTGTCTTTCCCGCTACTCACTCTCACACACCTCTACTAGAACAATATCCAGCAAAGCTCCTCCACCTAAATAGTCCAAATTCCTGATCTACTTCACATATTCCTTTGTTTTAGTTGGTGACATGTACCTGTGTTTTGGTTGGGGGGGGGGGTCCCTATTGTTTCAACGACCTGGTTCCAAAAAGGAGCTTCAAGCTTCTAACATGAAGTGCAATGGGTACAGCTCCTAGTTTCGGTGAGGTTTATAACCTATAACAATATAAATGGATAGATAATCCACTGCTGGCCAGGTGAATGAAGCACCCTCTTATTTTTATGAAAACAAGTTTCAGATAGTGCGTAATGAAGTTGTGAAATCCTCCTAGAAAAGGATGCAGATGTATATAACTTCCCTTTTAAAGCAGTGGTCTTCCCTTCCTATGCGTTTCTCTCTCCCTCCCCTTTTTCAGCTACAATGGAATAAATTTAGGGATGACATTCAAAATTAGAGGATTAGGAATGTTATGCCAGTAAAGTGAACTGACTGGCTGAACACACTCAATTTTATAATCTTAAAAAGCCTGTGCTTTATATTCCCTTTAAGAATCACCTCATATGTAGCAGGATAAATGCACTTTCAGATGGCTTTGTTTCAAACAATAGTGATTCTGCCAAGTGGATACGGTCAGTCTAACATGATGGGTTTTTACTTATGTCACTCTTTGAATATTCATGAGCACACAGTGGAATTACAGGATTGTTTTGTGGTGCGAAACTCTATGGAGGGCCAGGTAGGGAAGGCTGTGCCCCCCAAACAGCCTGGCCTCAACCCCCTGTCTGCCCCCTCCCACTTACTGCCCCCTCAGAAGCCCCGACCCATCCAACCCCCCTGCTCCTTGTCCCCTGACGGCCCCCTCCCAGGACCCCTTGCCCCAAACCACCCACCCCAGGATCCCACCCCCTATCCAACCCTCCCTGTCCCCTGACTGCCCCCCGGCCCCTACCCACCCCTCGCCCCCTGACAGGCCCCCCAGGACTCCCATCCAACCCCACCTGTTCCCCATCCCCAACCGCCCCAGAACCTCCTCCCCATCCAACCACTCCCTGTCCCCTGGCTGCCCCTCGGGACCTCCTACCCACACCCCCAACGTCACGCACATGTGTGCCGCTGCCGCCCCCTTACAAGGCCACTCAGAGCAGCAGGAGTTCGCAGCCCCGCTGCCCGTGCGGCGGTGTAGCTGCAGGGGAGGGGGGACAGCAGGGGAGGGGCTGGAGGCTAGCCTCCCCGGCCAGGAGCTCAAGGGCTGGGC